CGCCACAAAGAAACTTTCACCCGGACAAGACTGTGCAGGAGGAAGCAAGAGAAAGTGAAAGTTTTTGGCTGAACCGGGATAATAAGTAACACCTAAATACCCTGGAAATTCAACTCTTTTAAGATACATTGTTCCCTAAGAAGATTGCAAAAAAGCGTTGGAAGAAAGTTTAAAGGGAAAGTTTTTTTTTTCCCACTCTCCTTCCCTATGGAAATAGCAGAAGGAAATCGGAAAAACCCGTCTTGGCAACAGAAGGTAATTAAATTTGAAAAATAAAACCAAGGGGGTATTAAAGATTTCTGAACACTGAAATCAAAGATTTTAAAAATTCTTTTTTTGCTATAAGTGGGAAGGGAGAGATAAAGAACTTATACTAAGACTTTGCTGAAGGAGATTGCTTGGAGCTTATAAGACTAGAGATAAACTGTAATAAGACTTCAAAAAATACATTTTGGAAATTTGCAATTGATTCTACCCCAAGAAGAGAAAGTATAAAAAGAAGAAAGTGTTAAACAAAACAGTTTGTGTTGATTAGGGTTGCTTGGTGACTTTGGGACTTTTGGAATTTATTTTTTGAAAGACTAATAACTTTTGGGTTGTTTAAAAAACTTCACAATGGCATTATCTGTTGAAGAATTGAAAATGGAATCTCCAAATTTAAGAGAAGAGGAACAAGAAGGGAAGGGCTCTTCTGGATCTGTTTTCCACTTTTTGGAAATGGCGATTTCTACTTACCAGGAATTACAACAACAAGAAAGCTGGGATGAAGAAGAAGAAGCCATCTTTAATGAACAAGTAACTTTAGTTGAGGAAGAAAAGGGAAAGAAGGGAAAGAGAATGGAGAATTCAAGACTTAAAAAAACAACCAAAAAAGGGAAAATAAGGTGAAAAATCAATACAATGTCAGAAAGCAACAGAAAAGAGGAATACAACAGAGAGGGGAGATTAAGAGGGTGGAGACTAAGAGATGGGGGGGGTAAAAAGGCTAGATTGGACAAGAAAGGAAAGGAAAAAGGGAAGAGAAGTCACAAAGGCTTGAAACAAGATGTAAAAAAACAGATCTTTTTCAGAGACAAAGGGTAAAATATAAATCAAAGAGATTCTGCAAGAGCACATAAGATTGTATTGTAGTATTCCACTTGAAATAGAGTTAGAAAATTGGAACATTATATGATTTAATAAAATATTAAAGGGAATATGTAAAATGTTTAAGATTTAATGATAGAGTTTAATTTGCTTTGGATTATTGTTTCAACTATATTATAAACGTATTATTTTCTTATTTTAAAATGTATGTAGAATGTACTAAGCAGAATCAGAATGGAAATTATACATTATTTTAAGTGTTAAATCTAGGAGAAAGATAGAATAGTTTGTGTTTATAGAAGAGAGTGGAGACCAAGAGGGTGGAGATTAAGAGATGGGGGGGGGTAAAAAGACTAGGATCACAAAAGAGATTCTGCAAAAGTACATAAGATTGTACTTTTGTATCTTTAATTGAAATAATGTCAGAAAATTGGATCTTTATATGATTTAACAAAATACCAAAATGCATAAATGATAAAGTTTAATATACTATGGATTATTGTTTTAACTATATTATAAATTTATTAATTTTTTTATCTTAAAATGTAGTAGGTAGTTTTAGAATGTGCTAAGCAGAATCAGAATGAGAATTATATATTAAGTGTTAAATTTAGGGGGGAAATATAAAAGCGTCATATTTCAATTAGTGATTACAGGAGAAATATTGTGTTAATAAGAAAAGAAAAATAGATGATTACAGAACGGACAAAAGATATCAGTATAATGATTTAAATTGAGATGAAATAAATAAAATAGAATTAAGAGAGTGAAAAGAGGGGAGAAGCCATACAGAAAATATAGAATGGTAAATAAGATATGAAATGGTATATAAAGTGAGCATGAATTTGATTTATGTCTGTACTAAAAGATGTAACCCGGGACCAGGCCGCTTTCCAAAAAGAAGTTTTATGTTTTTATGTTTTTTATGTTTTGTGTTTTGTTTGTGTATGTTTGTTTATTGAAAATTAATAAAATTCTTTTTTTAAAAAAAAAGAAACTTCAGGGAAGATCTCAAGGTTACTTCCTAATGAAAGAAGAGAAGGAGGCTCCCAAATACATCAGTTGTCTTTTCATATCCTTAATAAATATACATCACTACCTAAAGGAAAAAGCCCTGAGAAGAAATCCAAAATATATAGGTAATCCTCAACCTACAATCATTTGTTCAGTGATCATTCAAAGTTACAAAGGGACCTACAACTGGTCGTCAAAGTTATGGCCATTGCAGTGCCCACATGGTCTCATGATCAAAATTCAGGTATTTGGAAGCCTGTCCACACTTAGGACTGCAAGAGTGCTTCAACTCCCTATCTCCCATCCAGTGGTGGGATTCAAAATATTTTTACTACCGGTTCTGTGGTCGTGGCTTGATGGGCGTGGCATGGCTTGGTGGGTGTGGCTTGGTGGACATCTCAGGGGAAGGACACTGCAAAATCTCTATTCCCACCCCACTCTGGGGGAAGGTTATTGCAAAATTCCCATTCCTTCCCCATCCCACTAACCTGCTTTCCATCTCCGTTCTCCTGTGTAGGGCAACAAAAGAAGACCCAGCCAATCAGCTGGGACTCAATGGAAGGCAGAGAATAGATGGGGGCGGGGCCAGTCAGAGGTGGTATTTGCCGGATCTCCAAACTACTCAAAATTTCCACTACCGGTTCTCCAGTACTGGTCAGAACCTGTTGAATACTCCTTCTGCTCCCATCCCATCGATGTCCCTTTGGCCCCTTGCTCTCCGCAGTCCCTGCTGACCTGGATAACTTTCGCCATCTTCTTGCTCCCGCTGCTGACTAAGCGTGCCCACCCTGGTTCTTTGTAAGGCAACTTCTGGCCATATGAGGCTTTTCCCCCCAGCAGTTTCCTCATGAGACCTGGGGGAATTGGCCTCACGTGACCAGCAGCTGCCTCACAATGGGTCAGGCCGGGCACACCTGATCAGCAGCAGGAGCAAAAAGATGGTAAAAGGTCAGCTTTGCGCTGTATTCCAGTTCAGGGGCTTCTTGTAGCCCTCAGAGATGCAGTGCACCAAATGGCCCTGAACTACAGCACTGACAAGCAGCCCTAGAGCCGCATGGTTCAAGGCTGCTTGCCGCTCCAAAAGACAGGGTGCAGGGCAGCCAAAAATGTAGCAGTGGGAGTTGAAAGAATTAGAGGCACCTTTCCAAGGCTTGTGGGTGGAAGGGGTTGGAGTTGATTCTCACTAATGACCGGTGGAATTTGGTTGACAATAATAATGGTGTTGAAAGGTGTCAAAATGCCTTTCTTTCAAGGATTCGATTTTCCCGCTGGGAGAGCTCTGGCGCAAGGATACAGACAACTGCTTGAAAGCTGGATCTTTTTATTTTTCAGGAAGGCGGGGAACAGCGAGAAGTCTGCGTTCCTGGGCTAGCTAGCTTCTTATGGTAAGTCCCTGGTTTTTTATACCCTTTTCTCCCTTTGTAAGTTGATTTTGTGTGAATGTTTGTATTTGTGCTTAATGTTTCAAATCCTGTTTGAGTTTGTCTTTATTCCCGCCAGAGGGCAAACTCCGCGGGGTGCGGAAGGCAAAGTACGCGGGGTGGCCAGATTGTATTATTGGTTTTCTGTAATCTCTTTTAGCTTTAAGATAGTTTTTCATATTTGTTCTGTGGCAATCTCCTGTCTGTCCCTTTTGTAATTTATATTTTGTGTCTTTTGTCTGTTTGTTTTGCTTATTTGGTATGTCCTGTGTTTGTAAGGGTTTTCTGAATTATCTTTTGTTTCCTTTTTTTTATTTGTCTAGTTTTCTTAATTACTTAGGCTTTTGTCTATAGGGATTCTTTAATACTTTTTATTTGATTCCTTTTCCTATGTAAGTTTGTTTTCTGGCTGGCCTGATGTTCCCCTTGGGCTTTTCCTGTTTTTTTTTGTAACACTACTGTCTTCGTGAAGTTCCCTTTCCACAATGGGAAGTGCTGGGCTTGCCATCACTAAGTAATGTGATTGTGTACTCAAAAATATTTCTCTGATCTTTTAGAGTCACCAGCAGAAAGGGAGTGGGGGAAGTAGTGCATTCCTTAAATGCTTCACAGATAATTTCTAGAGAGACCGAAGCTTCTGGCAAGCAAGATTATTACTGGAGAGCATGATTGATGACTCTTGGCTATAGATGTGTCCCATTGGAGAATATACATCCAGAGGGTGGGGGAAGACCAGTGTCAAGAGTGAAATGAATGATGTGTCTCACAATCGGTTATACCCAGGTAGCACCGGCATGTTCACTCCTAATAAATCTTCTTTAAACTCTGAGAGATGCGGCTAGAGGCTCATGATTTAAATGGGAGTGGATGCTGGAGCCCTGACAGTGGTCACATGAATATGGTTGTAAATTGAAGCTTACCAGTAGGCTTTATAAATTGCATCACTGAATCAACTACAGGAAGTCCCTATTTAGCTACTATAATTGGAACTTGGTTGTTGTGAAATAATTTCTAAGTGAAATCAAGACTGTGCTTATGATTTTATTTCAGCTTTCTTTTGCTTTTTAGATCTGCAAAGGTCATAAATGCAAGGATTGCTCATACAGTTCCTTTTTATCACCATCGTAACTGCAACTGGTCACTAAAAAAATGCTAAACAAGAATTACTTGTGCCCATATTTTCTCTTGGGATTATATTAACATATCACATCTCTTCTTAAACATTGATGCCAAGGCTGTAGGCTGGACTGGGAAGTTCAAAAAACTGCAATGGCAAATAGTTGAAGTCCATGAAGTGACCAGGTCATTTCAACTTTAAGGAACTGTTACATTATACTTTACAATTAGATCATTTTATAACATTTCATTGGTGGTATTTGATTTTTTTTAAAAAATCTATGAATATAAGCTTATGCCTCCTCCCCTTTATTAAAATATACATGAAATATTCAGGGAATGTTTTGATCACTGAAGAATTCTGATTCCTAAATTCTAATTCTGCCAATTACACAATAACACAAAAATTAAAGAACAATGTTTTCTGCCTACAAATGATTGGAAATACTAGATGCAGCCAAAAAGAATGTGTAACTTGTTCTGCACTAATTTTAAGATTACATCTTTCAAAAGCTCCAGCCACCACAGGCCAAACTCCAGAATTATGGATATTATTATTCAAAACATCTGGAAAGCACAAGGCTACCCAAACCTAATGGACACTTTGTTCAACAACTCTCATCTAATCAAGGAGAGAACCAATCTAGAAATAAGAGAAATTTCCTGACAATTACAACAATTTATCAGTGGAACAGCTTGCCTCCACAAATTGTGGATGCTCCAACACTGGAGGTTTTTAAGAAGCAATTGGACAACCATTTGTCTGAAACGGTATAGGACCGTGATGGCGAACCTATGGCATGCGTGCCACAGGTGGCATGCAGAGCCATTTGTGCCGGCATGAGAACTGCAGGCAAACTTACCTCACTGGGTAAGTGCGTGCCTCACAGCTTGAAGAAGGCTTCTGCAGGCTGAAAACTAGCCTCGTTTTGTCACTTCCTGTTTTTCCGAAAATACCGGAAGTGATGAAACGGGGCTAGTTTTCAGCCTGCAAGCCTTCCTCAAGCTGAAAAAGGCCTCAAAATGGCCGAAAATCAGTTGTGAGGTACAGCGGGGGATGGGTGGGTGGGTGGAGATTACACATGCATGCGTAGGGGGCATGGGGGGGGCACACATTGCCTTCTGGGTGCTGGCACACGAGTGTGAGCGGGCAAGTGCGCATACAATTTTTGGCCCAGGAGCCCAAAAAATTTAGCCACCACTGGTATAGGATCTCCTTCTTTAGCAGGAGGTTGGACTAGAAGACCCTCAAAGACTCTATTCTATCCTACACCATAAGTACAAGTCCATCTCATTTTGTCAGGTTTCCTAGCTGCTGCTTAGCAACAGTGAAGCCTTGTAAGGGTGGCGCTATTTGGAAATAAAATCCTACAGTAAAGCATCTGCCTGGCCCTCTCTTGCTCTTATTTTCAACAACATTGCCCACTTAAGAGAGATTTGATGGTGCTGCTGAGAACCGGAAGACAAATTACAGTTCATTTAAGAGTTTAATTTAATTTAATTTAAGGAAGCATAAGAAGAGGCTTTGTGCTGATTGTGTTTGTTTTCTTAGGCAAATTACAGGAAACAATAAAAATTCCCAACATCCATTCTTTATTATCTACATTGCTTCCCCAACCCGTGTCTGTGAGTGCACCTCCACATTTTGCTTACTTTCTTTTCCCAGATATATTTATTTATTTAGATTTTAAAATGAGCAGTGGTACAATGGCATCTGCTTTCATTAGCTAATTTTCTAATTTCTTTGAAGAACTGGTATTTCAAATCAGTTAAGTCACTGCAAAAACTTACATGATCTGGAGATAGATTTTGGTAGACCTTGTGGGACGCTTTACATGTGTAAAATCCATATATAAAAGATAACTTTTTGATAGCAATCAACTGTTCAGAATTCAAAATTAGGTTCAATTCTAATAATTCAATATATGACCAAGAATCTGCTTATGCCATATGCTTATTCATTTAATTTAACTTGTATTTTTTCCGCAATAAATTATGCTTGGGGCAACTGTCACCAAGGAAATGTACAGTAAAATATAAAACTAGAATAAACATATTAAAATGCTCTTAGTTATACATATATATATATCCAATAAAAGTGCCAATTAAAAGAGATAAATGCCTGTTTGTGAAACTGATAAATAGATTAAAACATTAAAACATGAACAGGCAAAATAGAATAAAATCAAGGAAGACAGCCTACTATTTCTAGAGAATTATATATTTAGAACAGCAGAACTGCATACTGTAGAGTAAAACTGATATTGCCTTAAACATAAACAAATTAATAATCCTAATCCCTTAATTCGGGGTAGAGTCTGGGCAACTGCAACTAAAAAAACAAAAACTGCTGTTATCCTGTTGCCAGATGTTCGTCAAGTAGTGCCAACAGTAAGAAAGCCTGAAATTAACTGGTCAAGTTATTTTCATCCCCATATTATCTGTAGGATAAATTATCATATCAGTGCTTATATGTTAACATTTGCAACAGGGTGTTTATTCTTCTTATTTTTGTACAACTTCTTTTATTAAGGATGAAATCCCAGGTATAATCCAAGTCAAAAACTTTTCACAAATTGGGGAGCATAATTTGGATAGGAACTGGTGAGGTTATTCTAGTATTCTCCACCTGAATCCTTTGCTGTCATGGAGCACAAATATAAAATACAAAATTTTGCATTGTCAACTGCAATCTACTACAAGCTCTAGGCTACAAGCTCTTGAGACAGCCACTTTGGTATAAATCACTCTGGTTTACGGCATCAGGCTAGAAACTGGAAATCCCAGTTTAGGCACTTGGAGATCTTGGGTCAGTCACTGCATCTCAGTCCTAGGAAGCAAGCAGTGACAAGCCATTCCCAAGAAAGATAACCAGGGACTTATCAAAACATCATCAGGAATGAATACTGACTCAAAGGCACTATTCAAGTTCTTACCATTAGCTATGTTAAGGGTCCTATTATAGAGAGATGAGTTGCACACTGAAATAATATAAGAGCACAGGAGATAAATGAGACTAACCAGACTAATAAAGTTTTACTCCTAACTTTCCCATCGTTTATATCCTTACTAGTCAAATGTATTTGCTTTGAGCATCCATGGGAAATGTAGATAAAGGTAAATGAGCTAAATATATGCTGTTCCTCATTCTAACAGCAATCTCATTAATCCTTACCTGGAAGTAATAACCATTATACTGAATAGGGGCTGCTTGTCAGGAAATAGCTGAAGCATTCAGATATATATTTTTTTAAAAAAAAGGACAAATGCAATTTATGTCCAGACCCACCAACTCAAAGCTAGTAACCTCAGGAATAAACCCCCGAGAAGATTTAGCTTGTAGAGACCCACCACACTGAAGACAAACACCTCCCAAATCTTTCATCCTTCCCAGAGCTGGATTTATGACAGGAGAACCTGAGAAACGAAGCAATAACTCGCGGCTACCTAGTTTGCACTTCCTGACAGGGATTTGGGGTTTTTGGGGTCAAACCATCCCTCTCTCCCTCCTTTCTCCGGCCGGGCGCTAGCTGTTCAAATGACTAAGGATCTAAACCGGATTGCTCTGACCCCGGATACGGGGGTGCACGGGGGTGGGGTGGGGGGTTTTCTATCTAAGTAGTACCCTGTATTCCAGTACACTCAGCTAAGAGTAACTGGCGGGTAAGTGGATCTGCTCTCCCCACGTCCTCAGACGCTTCCCTTCCCTCCCCATCTTTCGCCGCAGAGCTGCGAGTCCGGCGGCGGGAACTGAAGGCTGCACGTAGCGAGGTTCGGGAGCGAAGGGAAAGAGCGGAGAGGCGGGGGGGGGGGGGCGCGTTCCTAAAAGCGCGCCCGTGAAAGCCGGAGAGGAAGCGGCCTCTTGTCCCTCCCACCTACCCCCCGACTCTGCCGGCTGCCGGTCTGCCACCCCGGGGGGAAGCTCGGCGTCGGGGTTACGTCCGCTCCCGGTTGCCTTTTTAAGGCGCAGGCGGGAGCTCCTATCCCACCCCCTCTCTTCCCCCCCCCCACCCACCCTCCGCGTCCCCCCTCCTTTATCAGCTCCCGCTGCATCGCCCCTTTAATAGCCGCTCGCTCGCTGGTCCCTTCTCTCCTCGCGCCTGGCGCCGCGAGACGGAAAGGCGCGCGCGGGCAGAGAGCGACGTCCCCGGGAAAGAACCAGAAGGAGGAAGAGAAGGTTAAGCGAGGGATCCTGCCGGGGCCGGTGGGCGATCACAGCCACAGCGGCTTCCTTCTCTCGGCTTCACGGCTCCGGCCGCCTCTGGGAGCCGCCGCCGCTGCCTCCACCGCGGTCCTCTTCCCCCGAGGCCCACCCGCTGCGCATCTGCTCCGCCGCCGCCGCCGCCTCCTGCAGCCTCTCGGGCAGGTCGTGATGTGATCGGCGGCGCGTCCCTTGGGGGAGTGAGGCATCCCCAGCGGGAGCCTCAGCACGACGGAGAGGGTGGTGGAGCAGCGGGCCAAGGGCCGCGCCCCCATGAAGGAGAAGGAGGCGGGGGCGGGCGGGGAGCGGGGCAAGCCGGCCACTTACACCGGGGACAAGAAGGCGCGCATGGCGGCCAAGACGAACAAGAAGTGGGTGCGCTTGGCCACCGTGCTGGCCTACGTGCTGTCCGTCTCCTTGGCCGCCATCGTGCTGGCCGTCTACTACAGCCTCATCTGGCAGCCGGTGAGAGGCGGCGGTCAGCCGCACCCCCAGCCCCAGCCGCCCGAAGCGCCCCCCAGCCCCGTCGACCCAGGATCCAGCAACGGAGAGCGCCCGGCGGCGCCGATCGAAGGCGGAGGTGGCGACCCTCCCGCTCCAGTAAATCCCGCTGACAGCTCGGATCCGTAAGGACTCGTCCCGGCCCAGGAGGTCGGAGGCACAACTCCACAGCCACCCACCCACCCCCGCAACTGATCGGACAGCACCGACGGCGTCGGAGCCCCGGATCACGGAGGGCCGGAGGCCGCCAGTGGGAGAATCGCGCAGCCGCCGCGGGAAACGGGACCCCGGACTCGACTGGACTGGACTCGCTCTCTTGCAACCGCCCGGCCCCGCCACAGGATCCCGCAAATCGCTGCTGTGGACTCCGAGGGCCTGGGGCTCAGAGACGCCTTTGGTTTTACCTCGCCCTCCTGGCAAAGACTCGGGCAGGGAAGACTGTAACGGTGTTAGCTCGCCCCCCCTTTTTTTCCCCAAATATGGTTTATTAATCAATAAATACTGGGGGAGCCACGTGAAACGGAGCTCAGGTATGTCAGCCTCTCTGAAATGTACCCGATGCATTTCCTTTGTATTCTTGTGTATAAATTCTTTGTATACAGATGCACTTAACTAATGCATAGAAAAGAGCTATATAGTCTATATTCTGGACACGCATATATTGGCAAAGGAGATGGAGAATGGTATTCAAAGGGCTATTGGGTGGGGGGGAACGTAACTATGAAATTCACATCCAAACCTGGGCCAGAAGTTGGGGCTGCTTCTCTAAGACCCAGGCCAGTAATTCTGACTTGACCCAAAGTTTTATTCCTGTTCGCTTCATATGTATTTTGTTAGACACGGGTTTCTTGATTTTAAACCAGAATGAACACTGGATGTCATCTGCTGTAAACATGGTCAGAAAAGAATTTATTTCAGAAGTGTTAATGTTCTCACTTACACCCCAATCTTTTGTCTGAAGACAGGGGAGAGTAAATCTGTTCTTGACCGTTCTTAGCAAAGCTACATTGGATTTGATGCTCATTTACTTAGTTCTGTGCTATTTCTGTTATGTGATAGTTGCTCCCTCTGTTCAGTCTTAAACCTCGAGGTTTTCAATGGGGTTAACCCTAAGGTTTTAGACCTTCCTATATCACCCTTCTCTATTTGGATCAACTTCACTCTTTCTTCCAGCAGTGAGTAAAAAAGAGTTAAAAGATATATCTTCTGAGTCCTCACATCTTCCTTTTTCCTTCTCCTTGATGTTTGGGACAACTGCTGGAGCTTGTTAGAACAAGTAAATTGGATATTTAATACTATGCTGGTATATCTGTTGGGGCTGCAGACCAGAAGTGGTGAAAGCCAGCTCTATTAGTAGTTCCAGCATTACATCAGTAGTAAAGCAGCTATGCAACCTCCTTCATAAAGTAGTTCAGCCTTTCTCAACCTGGCGCCTTCAGATGTGTTGGATAAAAATTATTGTCATCCCCAGTCAATTGACTGAGTTGGCTGGAATGATGAGATTTGTAGTCCTGGACAACTAGAGGTAATAGGCTGAATAAGGTTAGCCTACTGCTTTCCTTGGACTAGCTTTAGAAGCCTTGTTTTTTTTTATATTTTTATCTTATGTATTAGAAATTTACAGTATGAGCTGACACCTTTCATGATATAGTTGAAGGATTTAATGATGCTGAAAGGCATGGCTGATATTCAGGCTTATTTATAAATAAATTCTTTTTTTTCTTACAAAACTCATAGTGCACATTTTGCTAGATTAATTTCTTGTCATGGGAAAGTGGGAAGTCCTTCTAAAGGCTACTTTATGCAATGTTCTATAGGCAGATTAGGCTTAGCATCAAACACCCACACACCCACACACACACACACACACACACACACACACACACACACAAATACACTTGCAGAATGAATCTTGTGACCAATTAAAGGCTGTTTGCTACTTTGAATCAAGCCAACTAATATGGCTGCCCCTCTGGAATGTATACACTTTTAATGTGTCACAGATATGTTTTACTGGTGCAAGTGTTCAAATCAGATAGTAACTCTGAATGTCAGATACTAATCTGTGGAATTCCATCAGAAAAAAAAATATTCCTAGAAAAATATAATCTATGAACTAGCCCTTAGTTCACTGGGCACCAGTAAATAAGACAGTGAACGCACATTGTGCAATTCTATACATGTTTATTTAGAAGCAAGTCTGGGACTTTACCGGCACAAGCTTATGAGTTTAGTTGGCTGCTTCCATTGCAGTTTGTTGCCCGATTAAACCAGGGATCCTGTCTAGCTCTATATCTGTGTGGTTGGTTTCTTGAATTCAGCATATTATTCCATAGTCAGTAACTGAACTAGGAAATCCCCCAAAGCCAATATTTTGCAATGAAGAATATGCTAGTAGGTGATACAAAGGAAGGCCAGGGGCCTTTAAGGAAAAATAAAAGACCAAAATGCTATCTTTATTCTAGTAAATGAAAATATGTGCCCTTAGAGGAATTTCCACTATATTTTTTATATGTTGTATATTTAAAACTATTAGTCATGTATTTTAAACAAGGAAAGACACTTGATGTGGTTTTGGGAATGATTACGTTCTTGGAAAGAACAAAGCAAAATGTTGAAAAAAATTGCTATAATGTCTAAGACATCCAGCCACTTTACTTTGTATTGTTATCACTGAACATCAGATTTAAGTTTAAGGTTGTAAACATGCTCTAATGTTGTCTATATCTAATTCAGCCATGTAAACTACGTCTGCATTCAGAAGTTCTGTATATTTTTTAAAAAAAGTATTTTTAAGGTTAAAAAATACATTGAGAGATTTCTGCCTAAAAAAACCCAAACCATATGATTTTAGTTTTCTTTTTCTAATCTCGTTCATTCAGAGAATGTTAGCCATGTCGTGTCTGTTCACAGCTACAGTAAATGGGAGCACATTTCTTCACAAGGAGCAAATTGCTCGCTCTTTCAGTTTTTGAATCTGAAAAACACACGCATACCGTACTGTATACACTTTAATATTGTATATGACTCTAAACAAAAGGGTGTTTCTGTTATTGTGGAGAGGACACACATGGCAAGGAGGGAGGTCCTCTTTTGTCCTGAGAGCAAACAATGCCGGAATTAAAAAAAAAAAAAAGTTGCGCTTGAAAAGACAAAGTTACATTTTTGTAGCTGGAATAAACCTACACCTGACCTGTAGGTTGTGGCCATAAGGTAGCGTACTTTGCAAGCCATAATCAAAAGAATAATAAAGACATTGCCACTTAAATTCCATTTCCCATCCAAAAAATGCCGGTGTTTTCACACAATACAATAACCTGTAGAATTTATGAAGGAGCACATTGCTGCTTCCCAACACGTGTCTGAGGAGAACACACAAGAAGATTGCTGGGTGATCTTGTTCCGGTTTCTGTCTCTCGGTCCAACTTCCCTCTTAGAATTGTAATGAAGATAAAATGGAAAAAAGGAGGAAAACAGTTTGCTATCCCAGGCACTTTTGAGGAAAGGAGGAGCACAAATTGTAAAAACGACATTATTTCCTCTGCAAAAAAATGGATGTTGTACACAAGCGGGGCCTTATTACGTATACTTATGTTCTAAGAGGGATTAGATCTTTGTACATTTCAAACAAGAATCCGTTCTTGGGAAATCTTGCCTGAATGATCTGGAATTCGTATCCTCTTGCTCTCAAAAGAGATTTGAGTGGGAAAGAAAGGAAATGGGCTCATCAGGAGCCAGAACGGGTCATCCCCATTGGAACATCAGTTTACAGGAAACGTATGTTCCCAAGATCCCGTGGGAGAAGTCAGCCCTCCCAAGTTACAGCTTGCTTTATGCTCTTCCAATATGTTTTAATGAAGAGTCTGCTAAATTCCATTGTGACTGGGAGTCCACAGAGGGAGTAGATATTCTGGCCAGCAGGAGCTGATAAGCATATTTCCTCTTAATAGGTAACAACTTGCTTTCTGAAGAGTTGTCAACAAAGCAGTTAATGACAGAAAAAGAGAATTAAATGCAATCAATGCCATTTGCTACCGGTAGTTCTTGACTTATAGCAGCTCGTTTAGTGGCCGTTCTACAACAGCACTGAAAAACGTGATTTATGACTTGATTGTTTTTCATACAACCATTGTAGCATCCCTATAGGGCCACAGGACTTAGATTTAGATGCTTGGCAACTGACTCATATTTATGATGGTTGCAGCGTCCAGGGGTTACATAATAATCTTTTGTAATCTTCTGACAAGTTCACGAGGAAGCAGGATTTGCTTAACAACCATTTTACTAACTTAACAACTATGACAGGAAGGGTTGTAAAATGGGGCAAAACTCATTTAACAAATGTCTCCCTTAGCAATGGAAATGTTGGACTCAATTGTGGTCATAACTCGAGGATTACCCATATAAACATTCCATTTTCAATTAGAAGCGAATATTTGTAGCTCGGGGTTGGACTTTGGGATCCTTAGTGCTCCCTGAACTTAGCTGTTTTCTTGCAGATGATTTATTACCCAACTAGGTAACATCATGGAATAAGTTCACTCTGAGTAACTTCCAGAAAGGCTGTTTGCTAGAGAAGAGCAATTGGACCCACTATAAACTGATTGTAAACCCATTGACCAACTATAAACAATAATTGCATGTTTTAAAGCAGAAATGAAGAGTGTTCCAGACATTCCTGAGCTCAATACATTCCAAATCTATCTCCAAGCTATTTTCTTAATATAAAAACAAAAGGCTGTGGTCATGATTTTGCATTGCTTTGTGATGGAACTACAATTAATGGTAACACTGATGATGGAAGTGGAGTTATGCAAATTATGTTTAGAATGCAATTTAAATTGGAATGGATTATCATATCATAGCAAAATGGTTAAAATTACATGTTAAGAAGCGGGGAGATATTTACCTTCAGAACTGGAATTCATTGTGATCATCATGTCTTTTTAAAAAGCTTTGCATTTTGCTGAGATGTTCTCCTGGAACATACCAATAGAAGTATGATTCATGTGCCTTTCTTCTCTTCCTCCCTTCATTTTATTCATAGCAGTTGAACAGCCTTTATTTCATCCCATTTAGACTGCTGAACTAATTCAGCAATATTTACTGGTTGTATCTCAAGTACCAAAATCTGATGAAGTATTTTACTCACAACCACAGTAGGATCCATTTTGAAATATCTCTAAGAAATCAGCTGCACACATTTTTTTTTTACCCTGTGAAATGCCATATCTAATATAATAACATGACACCAATCGGGGATGGAATGTCGAAGGTGTCTGAAATGACAAACATCCCACTGAATTGTAGCCATGTAGGTAAGTTTTCCAGATTGTTACTAACTATGCAATTATGTAAATGATATTTTAATGAGCTTGGTTACTTCTATGCTAGACAGGTTAAAGCAGAGGTTGAGGCATGTCGTGTTAGATATCCAAGACTGACACAGTGCATTTCATGACTTCTTGAAATTATGAAACCTATTAAACCCTAATGCTAGAACCATCTTTTCTGACCCCCCAGTCCTGCCTCAAACAGTGTTGTTGTGCAAACATCTGGATTATGCCTCATCCTTTTTAGCAAATGGAGTGTTCATTGCTGTGGTCCCAGATGTTTCAAGTAGCCAGGGGCATGTTATAACAATATATGTGACTGAAATAGCCTGTCTGCTTATTAATTCTTTAACACATCCAAATGTTTTTAGTTCATAGGAGATGAACTAACTGTAAATTGCCAAAGATGGATGGAGAATTTTGGTAGCTCATGAACCCGTCAATGGCCTGTTGAGATCAGAGAAAGAATGGGACATGTGCAAATTACTCAGTTGATGCTTATAAGAATATTTTAATGAAAACAACACCTCATTTCTTTCACTTGTAAACAACACAGAATTAGAGATAACCGTGCATTGCAATATCTTATTCTTCCAGCTTGGATTGTTATAATTATAGCCAAAATCCCAAATGAGCAAGGTGTATAGTCTGAGACCCCCAGGCCAAAAAGCCTTAAATATTTCACTGTATTATACCATAACAAGACAACATTTAGATATGTGTGTGAATAATCAAATTACCTACCTTTCATTGGTTTAATGGCATATAAATTAAATGTAATCAAATATAATTTAATCAAATCTGAAGTTATATTTTTCCTTAGCCCCCCACTCTTTTTTTACCTGGACTTGCCTACTTTTTTTTCCTGGCAGATGTAGCCTGTACAGGTAGCCCTTGACTTATGACCATGCTCGGGACTGGAATCTTGGTTGTTGAGCAAAGCAATCAGATGACTGCCTATGTCAAGGGTCTTCAAACTTGGCAAGTTTAAGACTTGTGGACTTCAACTCCCAGAATTCCTGAGCTAACATGACGGAAGGAGGAATGGCCTATGCGATTGCTTTGCTCAATGATCACAATCCCAGCACTCCCAGTTATGGTCATTAAGCGATTATGCTTATGTCATCAACCAGACTGTGATAATAATCAAAAAACAACTGGAAACATGTGAACAAGAGCTTTATTATTAAGCTTTTGCAAAAGGGAATTCTGCTCATGGCAGAAGACATGGTTCCCAGGAAGGCTGGGGTTTATATACAGGTTCAAATATACAGTCTCTGCCCCTTTCCTGGGTTCACAATCTATCCAAGCTACATATCTCCCTATGCAACACCTGTATTATTGTAGCATAACACCTGTTTCCTTGTCCTTGGAAATTACCCTCATTCTCATGTCTTCTTCTTCCTGTTATGGTCCTGTTATGACCATCTGTAATACAATAGATCATTAACCAGTTCCTTTCGGGTCAGGATAACCTAGTATCTCCTACACATATCCTTATGCTCTACCCCAAAGCCTGACATTTACTTTAGAACATAACAAGTTACAAAGTACATGTTTATTAGATATAGTTATATAACTGTCCAATAATCATTGCATAGTTCAAATATCAGATAAGTATGGCTTCCCTTCTGTTCTTCATTTCCACAGGTGTAACTCATAATATGTAATTTCTACATATAACACAGACAGAGTGAATGTGGAGTATCTTGAGGGATGGTGGGTGGGGGAGATCTTGGGGGGGCTGTGCTCAGGAGCTGAAAATCCTCTCTGTCGAAATCCAAGCCCCTTGCCCATGAGCAAAGAGATACACAAAGTCTGCACCAAGCTTCCCAGGGCCTCCTTGCTTGAGGCAACCCACCCTCCTTACCTTACCGCACTGCCTGTCTGCTTCGATTTCATCACCCTCTCATATCTATGGGCTGGCTGAAAAAGCTGCCTTCCAAAGGAGCACAGCTCCCATCCGTGCACAGAAAGGAACTTCTTTGGTGGGCTACAGGAACAGAGCCAAAATTTTCAGGATTTCACCTCCATTTCTACAGTCTGCCAAAGGAGTTCAGCTTCTGTCAGGAGGCAGCTCTTTCAGCCAGACCCTCAAAATAAGAGGAAATCCTCATGAAAGGCATCAGCAGCTTGCAACCTTCCCTGCCAGCTTCCTCATTGGCTTTCTGGGGAAGCCAGCAGGAGAAGATTGCAAATGGCAATCACAGAATCATTTGCTAACTGGTCATAAGTGCAAACAGGTTGCCAAATATCCAAATCATGGTGGTGGTGATGCATCATAATTCCAGACTGTCAGTAAACAAATAAGGACTAGCTGTAGTTTGGAAAATGTTGAACTTGTAAGCAAAGCTTTTTTCTTTTTGTAAGCAATGCTTTTTCACCCACCCCTTTTCCTAGCTTCAGATGAGTATGCCACATCAGTGAAACACAACATGGCATTTATTCTGCACTAATGTACCTATACTCTGTTGGATAAACACTGAAATCTATGTCACTAATCAAATTATAATACTGCTTTTTTAAATTTCAAAAAGACAAAGAATTGTGCATAAGTATATTCAAGAGAGTCATGCTGCTTGTTACTAATAATATCAAAAGTAATATCCAGTAAATGCTTGTGTGCCTTATGCGTAGAGAACTTCTACCTGGAAGTTGCAATTGTCCTGTCTACTCTATTCATAAGGCAATTCCAGGAGAAAAAAATATATATTTTCTCAGGTACTCACTGTGAGAAATGGTGAGATTTCCTGCAATAGAAGAGCAGCTTTCAACAAAGATAATTAGATGATGTTGTGCACTAGTGAGGAATAAGATTGTGGGATGCAGAAAATTGTGTGATGCGAGGTTTCCAATTATATAGACTACTATGGGTAATTTTTAGTTACTATTTAGCTTGATTTAGACAGAATGCAAATTTGTGAAAGTATATCCCCAGATCTTCAGGTGCTGGTTGTAGAAACTGAAAATGCGCTTATAATAGGGATGGCCACACTGCCTAGAAGTCTTAGTTTCAGAATCCATCAAGAACCTGCAAGGCTGATGTGAAGTTTCTGTAATACAAAGGCTTATAGGTGATGTATTTCGATACCCCGTGAGACACATGTTCTGGCCCTTGCTCAATCAATCAAGAGAAACAACCAACTAGGGAGAACAAAGAACAAAGAAGACTAGGGTTTTGCTGAAATAACTCAGCTTTGGATCATAGATAAAATTGCTCACAGTACCTTTTCATCTTCAGAGATACATTAATCTCTTTGAATTGTTCAGAACTGATTCACCATGTGGCATAGTGCTTAATGTGCCATTGCGCAGCACTTAGTGCCACACTGCCATAGGCACCAAGGAAAACCAGGGTCTGGTCCATTTTCAACCACAGAAGCTCCGTAGGTGGCTTTCCATTACTCTCAACCCAACCTACTTCACAGGGTTGTGGGGAAAATTAGGGGGGCAGTTGCAGTATGCACACCAAGCTATTGAGTTAATTATGGACTATTGTTGTCTAACCAACAAATAACTGTAAGCGTAACCTATAGCATTTCAGATGTTCCAGACCTACAGGTATAATAACCTGTAGTATTCCAAATGGATCTTCCCAACATCCCTAGGAGGGAAAATCAGAGGTGCAGGCAGGATGCTAGGAATTCTACCATTGGAAACATTCAAGGAGGAGAAATTGTGATGGCGTGAAGAAAAATCAATCGAGCGATTCCTATATGGTGACACTGACATATGAAAGCAGTCTCCAGCTAGAAGCTGCCATTTATAACTCAGCCTATAAACTTATCTAGCCAGTGTCAGTTGCTAAATTGGGAATATAAATCTGACCAAAACTGTTAATTGAAAGCTGATTTTAAAGGGTGGCTTCATTTCGGTTACAAAGACTGGCACCGAAAGGAGTCATCAGCTGTGATTTTAATTTTGCCTGGGAAATTGTGTTATTTTAATTCCAAGCATGTAGATTTTTGGGGGGGGGGGGGACAATATTGTAACCAGGTGACATGTATTAACAATGGTGTAATGGTTGTTGAAAGAAAAAACAAAGGCCATTAAGTGTTAACTACATTGTTAAATCAAACGTTTTGTCAGCCCTTTTCATATGTGTGTGTGTGTGTGTGTATGTGTGTATGTGTGTGTGTGTGTGTGTGTGTATGTATATGTATATGTATATGTATATGTATATGTATATGTATATGTATATGTATATGTATATG